ATAAACCCAGAATTTCAACTTGAATTGCAAAGTCAAAATCTTCAAAACAAACTTAGGAAATTAAGAATTGCTAAAGTTGCAAGTTGATCTCCCAAGCCAAAAACTAGAACTAAAATAATAAAGTCTAACCCCCTAAAACGAGGTTTACATAACCTATAAATAGAAAAATAAGTCCTAAATTTAAAGGGAAAGAAAATAAGGAAAGTTTGTTCAGGCACGCTCTTCATTCCATAAGACTGACTCACGGACTGTCAATGGATCTATGGTCTGTGAGTTCCTTTCGTCAGCCAGGACCTGGAAAATATTTCAGCTTCCAAAAATCAGCTTCTCTGAATCAAATGACGGAACACCAGTACGGACCGTAGATCGATCTACGGTCCGTCAATCCCTCTCCGTAGCTTCATACTTAGAATTCTCTAAAAATCATGTACTGGAACCCTCGCAGTCACATTCTACGATTCAGCAGTACGGGCCATAGATTAATCTACGGACCGTCAATGGTCACCGTGGTTCCACACTTGGTCAGATTTCTTGATTCTCCTTCCATGCCTTGCCCTGCTGATCTACGATCACAATCTACGGAGCGTCAATGGACCTACGGTCTGTAGATCACCTCCGTAGATGCCCTTTTTTGCATTTCTTTCAGCTATCTCTTTACTTCCGTGCCTAAACATCTTTCTTGCAAAACATGATAAAAACACATAAAAACCAATACAAAAAGGCCCTAGACACACCCAAATTTTAAGTGAAATGTATTAAAAATACTGTAAACTCATGGTATATTAAGCATGAGTGACTAAATACCACAACGGGGGTTATGGGATCCATGATGAAATTCTAGTTGCAATTCCATAAAACGAGTAAAGGGCATTTTGGGTTTACAATCTGTAGTTTTTAGCTTTTAATATCATTATAATCTAGTAAGTGCATGCATTAGATGAGCCTGTATCTAGTATTTGTTCGAGAGAAAAATACCAGTTAGGAAAAAGCTGAACTAAATTAACAAATTGGAGTTAAAGCTTGAGTTCGAGAGAAAAGAACTTTAACACCATATCATTATAAGCGAGGGTCAACGTTAGTAACACTCTAGGGTCGAGAGAACATGAGTGATAATTATCTGATTAGGCTGAGAAGTGTCAGATAGATTTAACTTGCAATGATTCTGTAAACATTGATTTGCCTAACGCTCAATTACGAAAGAACACTAGAACTAATGTTATGGTGAACACAATCCTGGTTTCTCTTAATTAACTAAATCAACCCTACAACGAAATAGTCTGTTAGTCGTGAATTTGGATTTTGACTGCAAGTTTGGTAATTATAACTTTCAACCAAACCCAATTTACTTTCCGTTGTTATTTGTTTAGGAGATAATAACAACATTTGAATAAATGCGACAGTGAAACCTTATCTGTAAAGAAATTCTCTGTAGGATCGACCTCAACTGTAGTTGAGTTTTGTAAATTGACATCGACCGTTTATATTTCTTATTTGAAGTGTAAGTTTGGATGTATCAAATTTTGGTGCCGCTGCAGGGGAATTTCAATCCAGAAGTGTTTTACTCGCTTTTATTCAATTTGTAGTTATATTTCCTAATTTTACATTTTGTTCTGTGTTTGTGTCTCTTTCAAGTAAGTTCGCTTGTGTATGCCCAATACTAGAAGTAAAGGAGCCCCATTGCTTCCTTACGACCCTGAATTTCAGAGAACTATTCGAAAAATGGTTAATGCACAAGAACTGGAGGCTCAGAGGCACAGACTGGGCTAAGAAGCTGAAATTGATGCTGCAAGGAATGTCCAGCAAACTGCTGGAATCAATCAACCTAGGCAAGGTATCCAGCAAAATGCTGGAATCAATTAGCCTAGGGCAGTGGATGATAACAGAGGGGTGGAATGATTAATCCCTCCCCAACGCCAACCGATAGATCCAAGGGATAGAACTCACCATCCTGCTCACATGATGTGTGAAGAAGATGATGCTGACTTGGATGGAGCTGGAGCCACTGGAGCTGTAGTATTGCCTGCACTACCTCCAGGTGTTAAGTTCACAATCACCAGCACTATGATTCAATTGTTGAACCTAAAAGGTATGTTTAGGGGTGCAGCTGGTGATGATGTGAATCAGCATCTGATGAACTTTGTGGGAATCTATAAGTCACAAGAGATTCCTGGAGTGAGCCAAACAACGATGAGATTGAGGTTGTTTCCACTGTCTCTTACTGGAAGGCAACTAACTGGTTGAATGAGATGCCAGACGACTCTATCAGAACATGGACTGAGCTAAAGGAAGCTTTCCTAGAACGATTCTTCCCAGAATCAAAAGAGTTGCAGATGAAGGACCAGATAAGTACACACAAGCAACTACCAGAAGAAGCAATGCATGACACTTGGTGGATATTCATCCAAAAGCTGATGAAATGTCCTAACCATGATCTTACTGAGAGGCATCTGAAACAAGCTTTCTATAGATCTTTAAACTATGTTACTAAACCTGTTGTTGATGTAGTTTGTGGAGGTTCATTCATGAGAAAGCCATTCTTAGAGAGCATGCAACTGTTAGATGAAATGTCAAAGAACAACAGGGCTTGGTACACTAGAGATGCAGAGGTAGAAGAGCTTGGTTATACAATAAAGCGTTCAGCTGAACAGAGGAAGAGAGAAGAAGAAAGGGACCAAGACATGGCACATATGTGGACACAAAGATATCTGCTCATAAAGCACATCGTAGCCAAGTCTGAAAAGGTAAATGCTGTGGGACAACAAAACAGGTATGAGGATCAGGATATTGACCTTGATGAGGAAGTTAACTACTTGGGGAACCAAGGAGGTTTTCGGAATTATAACTGGAAATTAGGGTTACAATTTTGGAAATGCAGGTCGAAACTATGCTAGGGATGGTCAGTATGATAGGCCAGCAAATAGAGATCAGGGAAACTGGCAGAAAAGAGATGGGTATAGGAATGATCGCAGTGGTGTTTATGTACCCCCAGGTAATAGAGATCGGGCAAGTGGTAGTTCCAGCGAGTCTAAGCTGGAAGACATGATGGCTAAGGTACTCCAGAAAGTTGAATCAACTAATGCAGGGGTAAAAGAAATGAGAGGTGATTTCTCGAGCATGAGTCAGTTGGTGGACTCTCACACCACCTCCATTAAACAAATTGAGCAGCAGTTGGGGAAACTCTTAACCTCACTGAATTAGAGGAAGAATGGGTCACTACCAAGTGACACCATCCAAAATCCTAAGAAGGACCGGCACTGCATGTCCATCGCCACCAGGAGTGGTAAAGTTCTTACTGACTCTATTCCTGTAGGTACCAAATATAAACAAGTCTTGGAGAAAGCTAGCAGAGAGGAGGATGAAATTGTATAGGTAGATGATTTGGAGGATACTCAACCTAAAAGAGAAAGAGGTCGAGGAAAACATGCCTTTATAGCATATTCCCAGACCACCTCCTCCTTTCCCTCAAAGGCTCTAAAAGAAAGCTGAAGATGGGAAGTTTACAAAGTTCATCACCATGCTGAAACAACTTTCAGTAAACATACCACTGGTGGAAGCCTTGGAGCAGATGCCAGGATATGCCAAGTTCATGAAAGACTTGGTTACCAAGAACAGAGCTGTAAGTATTGATTTCTCTATGGATATTCATCATTGCAGCTCCATAGCTACCAGATCGCTGGTTCAGAAGAAGGAATATCCAGATGCATTCACTATCCCATGAACCATTGGGTCAATCAAGTTTGCAAAAGCTTTGTGTGATCTAGGAGACAACATCAACTTGATGCCATTACCCATCTATAACAAATTAGGATCGGGAGTTCCAAAACCCACAACAATGAGATTGATGATGGTTGATAAGTTAGTAAAATGGCCTGTGAGAATCTTATGTGATGTACTTGTAAAGGTGGACACCTTTATCTTTCTAGCTAATTTCATGATCTTGGATTGCGAAATGGAATTTGAGGTTCCCATCATTTTGGGAAGACCCTTTTTGGCCATAGGAAGAGCTTTGGTGGATGTTGAGAGAGGAGAGTTGAAGTTCAGACTCAACACGGATGAGGTAAAGTTCAATATTTGCAGGTCAATGAAACAACCACAAAATATGAATGTAGTATCTGCAATAGAGGTGGTTACTGATGAAGAAATGAGAGTACCCATTGAAGAGAGGATGGCTGTTGAAACATTAGCTGCAGTGCTGATGAACTTCGAAGCTGATTTCAGGTCAGATTATGTAGAGACTGTGAATGCCTTGCAGGGTATGGGAGCACACTCGTATGCTCTAAAGAAATTGGACCTGGAATTGAAAAACAAGCCAAGCCCTCCAGCAAAACCATCCATCGAGGAGTCACTGGTGCTGGAACTGAAACAGTTACCCAGTCACCTCAGGTATGTATTTTTGGGTACTAATAACACTTTACCTGTGATCTTGGCTTCCAATTTAAATGAAGAGCAGGTGCATGAGGTGATCAAGGTGTTTAAAAGGTACAAAAGGGCCATTGGGTGGACCATTGCTGATATAATTGGAATACCTCCGGGTATATGCACCCACAAAATTCATCTTGAGGAGGATTGCAGCCCAAGCATTGAACACTAGCGAAGGCTAAACCCACCTATGCAAGAGGTGGTTAAGAAAGAGATAATGAAGTGGTTAGATGCTGGGGTAGTCTATCCCATTTCGGATAGTCACTGGGTCAGTCTAGTGCAATGTGTGCCCAAAAAGGGCAGTATGACTGTGGTGGGAAATGCTAAAAATGAGTTAGTCCTACAGAGACCAGTCACTGGATGGCGAGTGTGTATGGACTACAAGAAGTTGAACAAGTGGACTTTGAGGGATCACTTCCCCATGCCTTTCATGGACCAGATGCTTAATAGGTTGGCAGGTAAAGGGTGGTACTGTTTCTTAGATGGATATTTTGGCTACAATCAGATATCAATTGCTCCTGAAGATCAAGAAAAAACCACTTTCACATGTCCTTATGGCACCTTTGCGTTTATACGCATGCCATTTGGACTATGTAATGCACCAACAACTTTCCAAAGGTGTATGATGTCCATCTTCTCAGACATGGTTGAGGATACTCTAGAGGTATTTATGGATGATTTCTCTGTAGTAGGTGATATTTTTGATGACTATTTGTTCAATCTTTGCAGGGCTTTACAGAGATGTGAGGAGGCCAACCTAGTGCTGAATTGGGAGAAGTGCCATTTCATGGTAAAGAAGGGCATAGTCCTAGGAAACAAAGTATCACAGAAGGGGATAGAGGTCGATAAGGCCAAGATTGAGGTGATTGAAACGTTACCTCCGCTAATCTGTGTGAAGGGTGTTAGAAGCTTTCTAGGCCACGCTGGGTTCTATAGGCGTTTCATCAAGGAATTCTCCAAAATTGCACACCCCATGTGCAAGATTTTGGAGAAGGATGTGAAATTTGTTTTTGATGAGGCATGTCTCAAAACATTTGAGTGCCCAAAGGAAAAGCTGATTTTAGCTCCAGTGATCATTGGCCCAGACTGGGCGGATCCATTTGAGGTAATGTGTGGTGCTAGTGGGACTGCATTAGGAGTTGTGTTGGGGTAGAAGCGCAACAAGATGGTTCATCCGATTTACTATGCTAGTAAGTCGCTGAATGGGGCACAACGAAACTACACAGTCACTGAGCAGGAACTATTGGCGGTGGTGTATGAGTTTGAAAAGTACAGAGCGTACTTGCTGGGCACTAAGGTGATAATTCATAGAGACCATGCTGCTCTGAGATACCTCATGGCAAAGAAAGATGCCAAGCCAAGGCTGATCCGATGGTTGCTGCTTCTCCAAGAGTTTGACTTTGAAGTGAAGGATATGAGAGGATATGAGAACCAGGTAGCTGATCACCTGTCCAGGTTGGAGGCTGCAAAGAAGGAAGAGCTAGAGCTTGAAATAGATGATACATTCCCGGATGAGCAGGTATTAGCTGCAACTCTTGACCTTATCCCTTGGTTTGCTGATTATGCTAATTTTCATGTTAGTGATGTAATGCCTGAAGGACTAACATTTAAACAAAGAAAGAGGTTCATGCATGATTTAGGTAAGTATTTCTGGGACAAACCACATTTGTATAGGATTTGCGCTGATAACATCATCAGGCGGTGCATTCCTGAAGCTGAGATGCTGCATATTTTGGAGGCCTATCACTCATCTCCAGTAGGTAGTCATCATGGAGGTACTCGAACATCCCACAAGATACTTCAGTGTGAGTACTACTGCCCATAATTCATCAAGATGCAGTGGACCAAGTAAGGAGTTGTGATGTGTGCCAGCGGCAATGAGCCATCTCTAGGCGCCATGAGTTACCCATGACACCTATTTTAGAGGTAGAGTTGTTTGATGTGCGGGGCATTGATTTCATGGGCCTATTTGTGAGTTCCTATGGACAGAACTATATATTAGTTGCAGTGGACTATGTTTCCAAATGGGTTGAGGCCATTGCTTTACCTGAGAATGATGGCAAGAGTGTAGCTGGATTCCTAAAGAAGAATATTTTCTCAAGGTTTGGCACACCCAGAGCCATTATCAGCGATGGTGGTTCTCATTTCTGCAACAAGGTGTTTAGTGCTCTTTTGACCAAGTATGGGCTTAAACAACACAAGGTTTCTACACCTTATCACCCACAGACCAGTGGACAAGTAGAGGTTTCCAACAGGGAAATCAAGGCAATCTTGGCAAAAACAGTAAATGCCAACAGGACAGATTGGGCACGGAAGCTAGATGATGCTCTATGGGCATATCAGACAGCTTTCAAGACACCTATTGGTATGTCTCCATATCAATTGGTGTTTGGAAAGGCATGTCATTTGACGGTTAATCTTGAGCATAGAGCACTCTGGGCGTTGAAGAAGCTAAACCTCAGTTGGAGCGAACTGCAAACTTGAGGCTGGATCAGATCAATGAGATGGATGAGTTCCGTCTGAGAGCCTATGAGAGGTATGTACTGTATAAGGAGAGGATGAAACTATATCATGACAAGCATATTGAGAAAAAAAGCTTCACTCCTGGTGACTTGGTGTTACTCTTCAACTCCAGACTTTGTCTGTTTCCAGGAAAGCTGAGATCTAAATGGTCTGGACCTTTTAAGGTCACACAGGTGTTTTAATTGGTGCTATTGATCTGGAAAGTGATAAGGGCGAGAGGTTCAAAGCTAATGTCCAGCGAATCAAGGCATAATTGGGTGTTCCTGAGGATGTGAAGATTGTAGAGGAATATAAACTTGATGAAGTCTGAGTAATTAAGTAACTTGCGTCGCGCCACGACGTTAAATTGTGCGCTGCTTGGGAGGCAACCTAAGATGTAATTGTACTAGGTATTTTACCTTTTTCCTTATTTTTCTTTGTTTTTATAGAGTCACTGTGTGCTGATGTGTGCAGGAGAGAATAGGTGGAAAAATGCAGTAACTACTGCAGACTGAACTTCACGGACAGTCTCACGGACCATGGTGCCCTTCACGGGCATTTTCACGATCCATCTACTTGATGACCAACCTAAGAAAGCTACTGGAAATTGCAAAAAAAAGGGATCATGGAAGGGTTCACGGTCCATCAGAGCTTGTACAAACCGTTTAGCCTCTCGTGAACCTCAAGTATGAATTATAGTTTCTGAGCCAAGGTCACTGAAAGGTTCACAGACCATGGTGCCCTTCACGGGCATCTTCATGGTCCGTGGCCTGCCTCAGGTAAGTCTCCTAAGTTATAATCACGGAAAGGTTCACGGACTGTGATGCCCTTCACGGGCATCTTCACGGTCTGCAATCTATTACCTAGTACCACCCGTATCCGACCCGACCTGTGCATGACCTAAATTGAGATTAAATGTTTATCAGTTCATCAAGAACCGAAGGTCAATTTTTTCTCTCCTTTGTTCTTCCTGTAAAGGTTAGAAACGAGTTCCATCATCAATCTATCCTAAATCCACCTGAGAATCATAACCCTAAGTTCGAAAGTTGATCAACTGATCCTAATCAAGTTTATCTTCCTCTGTTTGAACGAAAACCCTCATTATTTTCAAGTATGTAAATTCTTAATGTGTTGCAAATTTGATCTTGTATAAAATAGGTTTGTTTTGCTCAACATTAATCAAAATTAGTACACTAGTTTTGTTCTAAATTGATACTGCATTGTGTGGGTTAAATCAAATTAGGCGTTGGCTATATTTTTTTTTGTTTGTTCTAGTTATTCTTGTATGAATGTATGATAATGGGGGGGGGGTTGAATTTGTTGGTGGCCGAGTTGTTTGTGAATTTTGTTTTAGTTAATTAAATTGATTACGAAGTAGGTTGATTCTTATGTTGTAGATTGGCATAAAATGGGTGTTGGTGCTGAAAACATTGGATTTTAGTGAATGAGAGAAGGAGACGACTGTAACACTGACCAAGTGTAAGACCACGATAGGTTTTACGGACCGTGGAATCCATCACGGGCTGTTAAACCAATCGTGGACCACACTTGAAGTCAAGCCACCACTCAGATTAAGTTCACGAGCAGTATCACGGTCCGTGAACATTACTTTGTCAAAAGTTGTGTGGCCCTTGTTGCATATTGATTCTTCCTGAAATCCATGAGGGGTTTCATGGACCGTACTTACCACGGCCCGTGCTACTCCCGTAGAGTCTACTTGGTGTTAAAAATTTTAATTTTTCTGTACTTCAGTTTTTGTTCATTTTTTTATTCCGTTTCCCTTCCCAATGATAGATTGGGTGGCGACATTCTTAAGGCAAGGCGTCACGATGATATTACACAATGGAAGTCTTAGTACCCGATAATGTGTCATATTGTTGTGTTGGATACAAATGAGTTTTGTATTTCTCAGGTACAATGGGTCCCAGAAGAAAGAATGCCACAAAACCTGCCTCCCCCACTGCTTCTCAATCAGAGGGTCATGACGCTCCGAAGCTACTAGTTCTGAGGTGCACATAAATTTTACACCTAAAGATCACTCACCTAGGGCTACTAGATCACTGATCAAAAGAGCTATCCTCCAGGACACACCTCCTCAGTCTGAAGAGGGAGGTGGTAGTTCTGATAACGGGGAGAACTCGGGAAGTCAATATGATGTTGCTGCTGGTAGCCAATCTGCTGATAACTCGAGGGGCAGTGCAGAGTCTGATAGCAGTTCTTAGGACGATACAAACACCTCTCCACCTATGGTGAATACAGAAGCTAAAACTAGAGTACGAGAGGAAGCGGCTACTATAGAGGATGATGAAGAGATCACCGATGATGATGTATGTGAAATCCCATGAACCTAATCCTGCACTGAGACCACAACTTATTGCCTGTTACCGTTCCATGTGGACTGTGAACTGTTCCGAAGAATTTTTCAACAATGGGATTGTGAACAAGACTGACAACTTCAAGAAGCGGGATATCATGCTTGAGACTAGAGTGGTGGTAGCTGACATTAAAGCATTCCCGGACATTTATCGGACGTTTCAATTTCATCAGTTTGATTGGATGGACAATGCACCTGGAGAATACTCTTACCATTTGACTAGAGAGTTTTACTCATCTTATGCAGCTACACTAATGAACTTTGCTGCAGAGACAGAGACTACTAAACGTGGACAGAGAGACAACCATTACCTGGGGTCCACTCAATTCTATTATAGTTCAGGGAAAAATAGTAAATATATCAGAGGACACTATTAACAGGATGTTGCATGGCCTCGAATACTCTGCACCGACTTCAGTTGACCTTTTCGAGGGCAAACATCATGAAGTCACTAGTGACGCTACTATGGAGATTCAGAGTTCTCGCGAGAAGGTGTTGCGTTGGATTGTAAAGAAAATTGCCATAGATGGGGAGAATGCAGTTTGGGTCACCACGATGCCAACACTGATTCCAAAATCTTCGTTATCATTTCCAGCCAAGGTGTGATGGGCTATTGTGCGTGCCCAATTGAGACCTACAGGAAATGACAACACCTTGTCTCCTTCTTTAGCATATTTGGTATCTTGCCTCATGGCTGGTTACCCGGTCAATGTGGGGCACATCATAGCTACTGAGATGAGAAACAGGGCATTGAATGAGAAAGCTGGGTTTCCATTTCCCTGTCTGATAGGGAAATTGTGTAGACAAGCGGATATTCTCCCAATCAAGCTGATTGACAGATGGCGTGACACATTCAGACTCATCCAGGTTTCAAAAATCAAGGATGTCGCGAACTATCGCTGTGGCGCGAAGTTTGCAGCTGTGGGCACTTTAGCTGTTGTTCCACATGTCCCACTTGATATTCCACAGGCAGACAAAGGCCCAGAGTAGGGAAAGTCATCCCAGCCTTCCATAGAGGCACCACCACCACCAGCTTCTGCCTCCCAGGGTTCAGGTACCTATGTCACCATTCCTATGTTTTTTCTTGAGAAATTGGTTGCAGATCAGCGCCAAACCAGGACATTGGCAGACTAGATTGTAATTCAGATGCCCTAGCTAATAGAGACGAATGTGTTAGCTACGAAAAAAAAGATCTATGATGAGATGCGGAAGGAGCTGGCTGTCTTAAAAGATAGAATGGATGGGTTGGAGAACCTTGTCCAAGATCAATTCTAGGCTGCCGGGTCAGTAGAAACTGAAGAGTTCAAATCACAGATGGCCGAGATGAGAACTTAGATTGCTAAACTGGCTGAAAAGCCAGTACAGGTACCCACCCCGATAAAGCCAGACTCTTTAATGCAAATGCTAACTCAAGCACCCTCTACTCAATCAATTGATAATCTTTGGGGAAAAATCCCTAAAAAAAATTCGGTAAAAGGAAACAAAAAGCTGAAGAATCGGAAGAAGAGTTACCTACTGACCTTTCCAAAGAGGAAAGAAGGCAGGAAAAGAAAGCCCGCAAGGCATCAAGGAAGGTAGAAAGAGAAAAAGCAGCCCGTGAGCAATAACAACGAGATGATGTGTTAGCTGGAGCTTCTGGTAGTGGAGCACCGGCCCCGACAAGTGAGGACCAACCTGATCAGGTACCGAGTTCTAAGAGTGCACCCATTGATAAGGTTGCCAATGCTGATCCGAAGATCGACGCCTAGAGCGCCACAAGTATGACCCCTTCTCATAGCCTTGTGTGTTTTATTGTTCTTTATCAACTTTGAGGGCAAAGCCCTTTTTATTTGGGGAGGGGGGTGGTGAGCAACTTGCCATAACTGTTAAAAACTGGATGTTGTCTCTATGTATGATTGTTTTTGGGTGTTTTGTGTGTTGAGCTGTGCAACAACTAGGCTATAAAAAATGAGGACTTGAATCTGAGTTTGACTGTTAGGATCTTTAGATGACATCTTAGATACTGATATGTTGAACATGGCTAGTCTGACCAATTAATTGGTGAACCAAGAAACTGAAAAATGCAGTCCTATGTAGTGTGTGTGAGTTTTGATTGAAGCCTAACACTAGGAGCAGAAACTAGAACTTGCCTAAGTTGTCTTGATTGAATTTGAGAATAACTGGATAGGAAAGGATCAGTAGGCCATTTTTGTTAAACCAGTAAAAAGCCAAAAATAAAAGAACCAAATGAAAAGCTTATCACTTGAATCCAATTTGAGCCTTAAATAAGTCTTTGTTCTTACTCAACACATACCATATCCTTGGGTCTCCGAAGGTACATATCACAACTCAGGCCAAAAGCCTAAGTTGAAGGTGATTGCAATCCGAACAGAAAGAAAAAGGGAAAAAGAAGGTTCAACCAGTGAGCTAAGTGCATATCAAAATTGCATAAAAAACGAAGAGAAGAGACAGAAAAAAAACAAAACAAAAAGGAAAAGAAAAAGAAAATAATAGCTTCTGGGTAGTGTTGAAATAAAGAAAAAGAGGGAATCACTCAGAAAAGAGTTATGTGAAAACGAAACTTTGGAAAACCAAGGGACTAGTCACTCACAAAATCAAATATCCATTCCCTTTCCCTGAGCCTATGTTAAAAGCCAATAAAGTCCTACAGTGATCCTATTCTGGGTGTTTGAAAGATAGAGCGTAGAAAGCGAAGGCAAGCCTATGGTAGTTTGTTGTTAGTGTTAGAAGTTCTTTGAGAGAGTGACTGTAGTACTCAGTCCCAACTCTTATGAGCGAGGGACTTCTTTGTTGTGAGGACATAGTGATTACATATAGAAGTAGATTGTGTGAGAGGATAATTCACAGGCATAAGCATGAATGACATTGAGTAATGAGATGTCATATATTGATCCTTACATGTTAGATTCAGGATTTTGGATACAATTGTTGTTTAAAAAGGCTGCTGCATAGTTTCAAAAGTTTTTGAACATTTTGAGGACTGAATGTGTTGTTGTATCATCACTTGAGGACAAGTAATGGTTCTAAGTTGAGGGTGTTGATGTGCCGCGAAATCTTGGCACATTTGATGCTTAAAAACGAGGAACTAATACTAGAATTAAGTGTATTTTTGTATATTTGATATGTTTGTTAATGGTGTAGGCAGAATCTGGCGTGTGTAGAAAAGTGGAAAAAGAAGCAGAGAATAATGATGATGACTAAGTGAAGTTCACTGCCAACTTCACGGACACAACCTTCATAATGGTCTGTGGTTGAGCCCATGAAACTGAACCAGTGTGAAGGCCTGAGAGGAGCTGAAAGTGGAATGAACAAGTGAAGACCACGGCCAACTTCACGGGCCATGGTCCTCATTACGGACCGTGGTCGTGATCGTGATGCTGAACTAGAGAAGAGGTTAAAAGAAGTTGTTAAGTGATCGGGTCAAGTTAAAGTCACGGGAACCTTTACAGGCCGTGAAGGTCATTATGGACCGTGGTACCCGTCGTGATGATGAACTAGTGGATGGACTTTGAAGAGTTGAAATTAGGATCGGATAAGTAAAGACCACGGCCAACTTCACGGGTCGTGGTCCCTAATGACAGTCCATGGTCTCATTCGTGATGCAAGTTCTAGTGATCAAGTTTAAAGAGAAAATTTTGGGGAGTTTCCAAGGGAAGATCATGGAGGGATTCACGGTCCGTGAAGCCCTCTACGAGCCGTAGAAGTGGTCGTAGAGCCACCCAACATTTCAGTCCTAGTTCAACTAGGACTCATTTTAAACATTCTATTTTGAATTACTTTAAGGCGTTTTGGGAATATTATTCATTATCTTAAGTTTTACGAAGGAAAACACTATATCATTATGAGATTTTGGATTTTGGATTTCGAAGATTAGTATCAGTTGAAGCTCGGATTTGGATTATCAGATTATCAAATTTGTAACGACCCGAGAGCACTCCCTAGTCGTTACCAGCGTATTCGACCTCGAAGAGGTCTTATACAAGCCCTTAGCATTCATCATAACATGTATCATAGAATAAAATCACGGAAAATTTAAAACTTTTACTTTGGAAGTTCAACTTCACTTCATACATGAAAAATAGAATCTAACTTCGTCACAATGCACCATCTAGACATAGAAGTATCGAAAAATGGGACTTAGCCCTTACATCAATAAGAAGTCTTGAAAATAGGAAGTACAACAATGTCTTTCAACATAAGCAAAGAACTAAACATAGAAGCTAGATCATAGGGTCTTGTCCTCGGACTTGAGGACTCACCAACTTGGGGAAGCAACTCCAAGTGTCTTGAGAAGTAAGCTTGAATCCTCAACGGCCCGAACCTAAAT